AAACTCGTTCTTTGTGGGAATTTGCACATGATAGGGATCAGTTAGCATTTCTGAAGTGATTTAAGAATAGTTACCTTGGTGAAAGTCCTACAAATGAACCTAAATGCATGTTTCCTGTTGATTATGGTTCAGGCTTGGTATTTTTGTTTATTCTCAAGCCCGGGGCTGTTACGACTTAATGATCAGTATACTATTTTAATTATTGCAAATCTGTATAACTCATTAATGCCGTCAATTCTTCACTTGGACTATTGGACTGGGATTGTGGTTGTACTTGGTTCTCACATGATGAATATACTGGTTTTCTAGAGCAATCATTGTATAACTGGAATTCAGTTCTTTGGTGTTTAAAGGAGCTTCAAATGCACAAGAGTCAAGAGCAGTTACACACACACACACACACACACACAGAGGGAGAGGGAGAGATTATTAATAAATGATTACAGGTGACTAGCAAGCAATTTGATATCTTTTGAGTGTCTGACATGTGACCATGCTTATTCTCAACCAATTTGGTGGTGAATGCACGTCTTTTGCTTATTATGTTTATGCTTATCCTTAAACTATCCAGTCCTCTTCTATATTTTCCACTGACTTTTCCACAATTTTTCTTTTGTCCCTCACTAACAGTGTCTTCCACTTACGAGTATGTAGCTTAGATTTGTCTAGGATTACTGCATGAGCTATTAACCATGTGATTTAACTTTGTTCGCATACTCTTTATGTAATGCAGTTTCTAGAAACGGCACCAGAACTGGGAAGCCACTACAATGATGTGATTGCACCTCAAGACGTTGCAACATATGGCGGACTTTGTGCACTTGCAACGTTTGATAGGGCAGAGTTAAAGGCATGTTCTCCATCAAATACATAGGATAGGCTTCCTTTGATATGACCTTAGTTGAGGCGTTCCTAGCATTCATAGCATTGCATCACCTCTGTTGTGTCAATTTTTTATGCATGGCAGGCCAAAGTTATAGACAATCATGTCTTCCGGAATTTCTTAGAGTTGGTTCCTGAAGTAAGGGAGCTGATAAACGATTTTTACTCAAGGTAACTTTTGTTCCTTTTATCTTCTTTCTTTTTTATTGTTCATTTGCATATTGATGGGACCTCTTCAACTGTGCTTTTTCCCCTTCCCGTGTAATTGAATGGAGACTTGATTTGTTGAATCTCAGTCTCTCCGGCCTGAGGCGGAACTGTACTGCATGGATCTTGAAGTGAAGTTCTTAATGTGAGGCTGCTATTCTGTATGCCTAAACAATAGACAATTTTTTAATAAGAATTGGAATGGAATACACGATGTTCAGGCTGTGCTTTTGTCAACGATGGTGAGATTGTGGTTGAAAAGAGATTTATGAATTCTTGATTCATTTTCCTCGGGATGGCTATCGTTTGTGATAGACTTCTAGTTTTCCATCGTTGTTGTCAATCAGATGAATTTTTTTCAGTGCACCATGTTTACATTGTGAATCTTTTATAATTGGTGGAGGTCTAAGGTTGCAAGTGATTGGCAATTCTGATAGTTGTCTTTTCTCATTTGTGTATCTTATGTTTTAATCTTTCTCCCTTCCACCTCTATATATGTATTGAGCTGTTTTTCTGCCTTTTTGCAGCCACTATGCATCCTGTCTGGAATACCTTGGAAACCTTAAAACAAATCTGTTGCTTGATATACATTTGCATGACCATGTAGAGACACTCTATGATCAAATCCGCCACAAAGCCCTCATCCAGTACACACACCCTTTTGTGTCTGTTGATTTACGCATGATGGCTAACGCCTTCAAGACAACTATTGCTGGACTTGAGAAAGAACTTGAAGCTTTGATTACTGATAACCAGATACAGGTGCAGTTGGGATTATGTTATTTTGCTTTAATTTGCTTTCCCTGATTCTTATAGACTCAGATGTCTACATTGTTGTTCACAGATCTAGGTCTGCTTGTTCTCTAATAATCACCATTGTTCTATCGTTTTTATCTCCCTAAAATCTAGTAAGCTTTAGGTTATTGAAGTCAAGTGCGTGATAGGTGTGGGTGGGTGGGTTTTTCTCTTGAATATCTACTAAAGCTTTAGTTCATTAAAATCTGGTAGGTTTCTCCTGATATGATTGTGTGTGTGTGTTGTGAGGGGTTGGGGAGTTGCTTCCCTGTTGTTTTCTTTAGCAACCTAAGCTTTACTGTATCTTAAATGCTGCTTTTGCCAGAAAAATATGTTTTCTATTAGAACAGCCTCGCAATTATGTTATGGATATTGTCTCTTGACAGGCTCGAATTGATTCACACAACAAAATTCTGTATGCACGGCATGCAGATCAGAGAAATGCCACGTTTCAAAGGGTTCTGGAGGCTGGAAGGGAATTTGATCGGGATGTCAGATCCATGCTGCTGAGATCAAATCTTATCAAGCATGATTACAATCTTAAGGCATCAAGGAAACTTTGATTTTGGATTTGATGATGGTTGGGCTGACGTTGCAATCATCATGCTTAGAGACATTGGTCGGTTATTATGGAGAAAAGTTCCAGGCTGAAGTTCCATGAATATTGTCTGGACTTTATAGTGGGTTGTTAAACATTTCGTCCATCATTAACGGATATACTATGGCTGCTATTTTGTATATACTTTGTACGATTCAAATGAATTATTCAGTAGCCCTTTTGCTATATATTTAGTTTGCGTATTTGCTGATATGACATGTTTCTTAATTTTGTTACTTGATGTGTAAAATCAATCAGAAGTTTGAAATGGCTCAAACTATTCTTACGCTACTTATTTCATTAAAGAGTTACATATAAGGCATTAATTGTTAAGGCAAAGTTGACAAGTAAATATTAGTTACCAAAATCGCCAAATAAGTGTCCTGGTGGACGTACAAGAAGCGGATGAGGGCATTATTTTATGAGGTCATGATGGTTTTTTGTCTTTTGCCCTTTTTCTTTTTGGTTGTGGTGGGATGACGAAAAACAGGATGTTACTCTGATGAATTGATTAAATTGATTCTTCAGTCTATCCAGATACACATCCTATGGTTCTGGGTTAAGCGGCCCCTGTGCTGGCGTAGATTTGTGATTTGAATTCACTGGTCCAGTGCCTTTTGAAAGAAGAAAATATAGGACCAGTATATTCAGCTTATTAAAATACACTGAAAAAAACGTGACAGTCAAAATATACATAATCTTAAACTTTCATATTAGCGGGTGAAAAAGGTTCGTGATTCATGGAGTTCTGATTGGATCTGATGTATCAATGGATATGATATACTGACGTTATGACATATTTGAGAGCTTTTTTGACATCCAAGTGACGACCACCTTATACGGAGAGGCTACATGAGGACGATCCTAGACGGCCAGGCAGACTCAGCGGTAAGTCAGCCCAACCAGCAACCATGCTCCGGCCACTTGGTCCTCAGTCATGAACCAAGTTTGGGTTATTATCTCCTTGAAAGTCAAGGATACACAGGTGAAGGTTTATAGACCAGATAAAAATCAGATCGGACACTAAGGCCCTGTTTGGTTTGAGAGGAGGGAAAGGGAGGGGAGGTTTTATCCTCACCTTGTTTTGTTTGATTAAAATGGAAGGGAGGGGAGGATATTTAATGATCCCTTGTTTGGTTCAAGGAGGGGAGGGGAGGGATAGTAATAATCAATTTGCCATTTTACCTTTATATATTAGTTTATGTATTTTATTGATATATTATATAAATTAATTTACATCTTAATTTAAATTATATAATTTAATAAAAATTCAGTCTTATCATGTTAATATGTGTACTAAAAAATTGGTACAGTAATTTTTATTCTAATTAATATAATAATATATTTAAAATAATCAAATTAACAAATTTTATATGCTCTAAGAAAAATGAAATTTTTTCTCTTTAGGCTATCTTTTTTTCCAGCTTTAAAATATATTTAATAAATAATATATTTATAAAAAAACAATTAATTTTATAATATTATAATTTTTTATTTAAATAATTTTTATAATATATTTTTAATTATAATAATGTATTTTTTTATTTTTTTACTTAGGATAATATATTTTTTATTTGAAATAAATATTATAATAATATATTTTATAGGTAGAAGTGGAATATTAAAAAGTCTATAAGGATATAATGGTCCAAAAATTTGGTTCCCCTCCAAAAACCCCCAATTTGGAGGGGAGCTAAAATGGGGGGAGGGAGGGGACATTTTAGCTCCCCTCTCCTCCAAAATTTTTAACCAAATGAGGGGAGGGGCTCATTTGCCCTCCCCTCCCCTCCAACCAAACAAACCCTAAACCGATTAAGATAGAAGTTCAAGGGGTTAGTGAGTTAGAATGGGGTCAAATTGGAGTCAAATCAGTCATATTAAAATAATATATAATTTAATTAAAAATAACAAAATATAGTAACATTAATAATCACTAATAATAAAATATAGGAAAATAAAACAACATTTTAATTGTAACAATAACAACGTACAATAACATTTAAAATACTTATCTTTACAATTTTTTAATAACTAAAATTAACCATTGACACCAAAATTATCATTAAAATTTATTCAAATCTATAATAAATAAGATATTAGGAGTTGAATAAGAAATAATAGAACCAATAGTAATATAATCATCCAAACTAGTTCATTACTGATTCACATCAATTGTCATCGGTTCAACTTGGTTTAACCATGTTGACACTAGTGAGTTTTGACTGATTCAACACTCAAATTAGACTAGACCATTAGCTAGTTTTTTAGTTCAACTGGCTAGCTTGATTTGATTTTTGTTCTTTATGTTTAAAGTTGAAAATGCTTATATATTAAAGCTGGTAAAATGACCCCCCCCCCAAATTTTCAATTTTTCATACAACGGTTGAATAAGGTTTTCATGTAATCAATATCATTTATATGTATCACAACATAGCATAAGTCAATTCCCACTTGACCCTCAACTTTTGAACCTGAAAGGTCACTTGGAATAAAATTTTAAATTATCTCTTTCTCTAAGTGAATGAAAGACAAACCTTATATTAAGTTTTTTTTAACCAAAACAATATATTTTCATAAAATAGAAGCAAAAAAAAAAAGAAGAAAGAAGAAAATACAAGTCTAACAAGAGGTCCAACAAAACCCATTAAACTAAAAATCCATAAATAACATGAAACCTAACCTAACAACAAATTAAAGCAAGAGGAGCCTTTCACCCAAAAAAAAAAAAAAAAAGCAACTGGAGCCGTTGCCGTCAAGTTCCCCAGAAAGCCCCATCGTCTTGTTGTCGGAATCTCCGGGGAAGAAAATGCCATCACTGGCAAAGACGCCAAAGTAAAAGGTGGTGGTTTGAAAACCCATCTCGAAGGACCCGTCCTTCTTGTAGGCCAAAGAACAACCAAAAACGGTTGAAAAGCAAACATGAAAAACCCGTAGAAGCTAGAAGGTAGAACACCCATAGCCACTAGCAACAATGAACGGTACTAGAGGAGGAAGAGAACTCACCTTTGGCTACCCACTGAGCAGCACTGCTTGGTGAATTTTATACCTTTCATCAACACCTTGGATTCGCCACCGCCGAACAACACCATCGACTGTCATAGAGCATTTGGTAATTAAAGTAGAGACAATCGTCGACTAAAGCCTTTCCCACAAAACGCAATTCCAAGCCATCAACTCAGATCAAATCTATTACTTTTCGTTCTATCATCGAAAAGAGAGATGCCACGAACAAAAACCACAGATCTAATAATAGCAGAAGAAACAAAATACACCGCCACTAAAACCCCATTAGCATATAAAACAAACAAGAGGTCGATGTTCCCTTCCGTGAAGGAGAGCACAGAAGAAGGAGACGCCATAATGATGACTCAACCCGACAGGAAAACAAAGCTCTCACCACTGAAGAAGTTTCTACTTTCCAGAGACGGGGAACAAGAGCTCGCCCAAAAGCGGGAGATTCTTTCTTGTTTATCTAAGTTTTATATATTCATTATCTCATATTTTATTTTTAAGATATTAACATTTAATATTATTTAATTACAAATTTATACGAAATAAAAAAAGATACGTATCTATGTGTGATTACTGAATTTGACATATTAGATATAAAAAATTTAACCAAATTTTTTTTCTATGAATGAATATCTAAGGTTTAATGTATAGGAGAAATTTTACCAAAATTATCTCATATTTTTGCTAATCACATATGATTATATGTATTTTATTTTTAAAATATTAAAATTTAATATTATTTAATTATAAATTTATATTAAAAAAAAAAGATACATATTCATGTATGATTAGAGAACTTGACATAATATATATAAAGAAGTTGACCAAAAAAAATTTTTTTTTCTGTGAACGAATATGTAAGGTTTAATATATAGGAAAAATTTTACCAAAATACCTTCTGAATTTGCAAAACCTAAAAAGGTCATTCTTCCAAATCAATACTTGTGACCAAAATGAAATTTACAAATCATCAATATTGCTAAAGTGGGATTTAATCCCACCAAATCTTGAATTCCAAAATTCTTAATGACCATCCAATTAACCACTAAACTTCATTATTAGTTGAGTGCAAAATTATATATGAGATAACTATCAAATTAAAATGTTCTTTTAAAAATAATTTACTACCCTACCAGCAATATTAATAATACTTTTACTCAATTTCACCATTTCATCAATTTCATTTACAACAACTTTTTTAATAATTTCAACACTCGAGCCGATACAAATAAGAGGGTCGTGTTTTAAATCATTCACTACACTATCGATGACATTTACAACATTTTTACTGAGTTATACCATTTCATTACTGCCATTTACAACAACTTTTTTTACATTTAAATACTTGGGAAAATACAAGAATGTCGTGTTTTTTAAACAGGGGAAAAGTAATTTGGATATCCTTATAGTTTCTCTCTATTTTGAATCAGGTCCTCAACTTTTTTTTTCTTTTTATGGCGTCTTTTAACCTTCAGCTGTTACACATAATAGTCCTTGCTGTTAAATAAGATCAAACACCGTTAAAATTTTCTGTTGGAAAACGTAGCACCACATCCGAAACATCTTCTCCATTGAAATATCTTCACCGTCTGTGTCTACCCCCTTACCCAAGCTTAGACCAAACTTTCCTCCATCATTCGCTTACTGCATCAACATCTTCTCCTTCCCCTCCTTAACGCACAAAATTCAAAATGAATAACAAAACTACTACACTTTTAAATTAATCAATATTAAAAAGTTAACCATGATAGAAAAGAAACTTTGTAAAACATTTAGAAATACTATCATGGTTATATAAACATCCTAAATCATATGAGATTAACCATGATAAAAAAAGAGTTAAACCAATCCATAAATATGTCTATCATGGTGAAAAGAACTTTTCTCAATTAACTGCGTGTAAAACGAGATTCATAGTGGATAGGCTTTGGGCATTATGAATCCAGAATAATAGAATATCATTTTCAACTATAAGCCCATAACACGATTTTACTAAATAACACCTTCCATAACTTTCACAAATCAAAAGTCATTTGATGTCAAAGATCATTGTGGATTTACCACTCATATCAAACAAAAGAAATCACACGCAAATACCTAAAGGCCTCCAGCCTTCTGCCAGCATGCAATCCAGTAATAGTTATCAAAAGCATACTATCAAAAATAATCAATCTCAAACATATCAAAGTATGTGGAATGGGCCCTATCATGACAATATACATCTATCCAACACAATCAAAAGAGTGGAAGCGCTATAATTTTGTAATAGCAGCTTAAGCTTTTAGAGCCTTCCCTAACTGACCCGAGCATGAACTATCACCTGGAAAAGTGTTAAATCAACAGGGTGAGACAAAAGCCTCAGTAAGCAACAATCCTACTTATCAAGCATACAAGTAAGTGCTCGTGACGTGTCAAGTGAGACAAATGCAAATTCATAGTATTCCAACAAATTTCATATTGTCAAAGCATATACAAAGTACAATTAATAATCTTTTCAACTCCCTTATATCCATCCACCTTATATCCTCTGACTGAACCCATAGGCTAAATTCTCATCCATGTGACTGGTAATTAGACAAGCTCAGCGATCAAGTGATATGGACTAGCCAAAATTCACAGAGCACAAGATCGAACCATGGGTTCCCCCTCTAGTCTACTAGTGGGGTGTCAATGCCTTATAATGAATAACTAGGCCAAAGGACCAATCAGTGTACACCTGGTGGCCCTACCACCTTATATCTTCAAATATACATAATTCACCCCCTTATATCCTCTTTGGTATGGTACCCATCATCAACATCTGCCACCCCTCATCAACACTCAAAATATTGCATTCATAATAAATCATCAACATGTAAAAATCAATTTGGATTTTCAATTTTCAATTAACTCATAATACCTGAGGTCATCATAATCGTAAACATATATCTTCTGCAAAGAAAGTCTCACAAGACAATTTTAATAACAACATACTTTCATAGCTCACATCATAATTCAATAATATTTCATAAATCCATTATAATTCAAAATCAATCATAAACAACCTACGAGCATGAATAATAAGTGAAAAGTGGCTACCTCTCGTCTAAGACAAGGATTACCACAAGGTTAACCCCGTGCTCAGACCAATAGTCCAATAATTTAATCTACACAACCAATACATTTACAGATCAATACACAAGCTATTTGATTAATTACTTAAGCTAATACATACATATATATATATATATATATAAGTTAAAGTTTCTAATTCTATGCTAAACCCAAACCTCTCATAACCTATAATTAAGTCTTTTAGCACAAAATTAATATATCTCCACAATCCATAATTTTCATTTAAACCTTTCAAAATATTTACTTTAATACAGATTTTTTCCTCAAATTTTTAAATATGGAATTATCATATTTAAAATTCAAAAATCCTTTCTCAACTTTAAATCTCAAAAACCAACCAATAGAAATTCAATATACATCAAATACATCTAAGTAGATAATTTAGTCAACAGTTTCATAGTATAAATATCATATTTCTCATAAATAAATACCTATTTAACTAAAATAATTCATTTAAAAATGTTGGATCAGTCAATAAATAAAACTAAACTGATAGAAATGATATACTAAAATAGCTCTACAATATTATACTCATCTATCATCAAAACTCAACACTTGCTTCAAACTCTAAACCCAAAAATTGTCTCTAAATAGCATAAAACTACTATCATTAGATAAATTTAGATGAGTGCAAAAACTTTCATGAAGAGAATTTAATGAAAGTCATTTGGCTTACCAAAATGATCTACAAAGTTGAAAACCCTCCTGAGAGAGTGGCACTGGAGAACGAGGAAAAAGAAAGACGACGCTCTCTATCCCACTCCCAACGGTTAAAATAACATTTTGGGGTAAATTTCGGTTAAAGACTCTTTGTTAGAATGGGACAAAATTACAGTTTAGTACCTCATTTTTCCTATTTTCTATGCATTTTCTTCTTCTTCTTTTTTTATCCGTTTTATTATTATTATTCAGTAATTTCCTTATATATATTTTATAAATTTATTTTCAATAATTCTTTTTTCTTAAATAAATAGAGAATAAAACTCATTTATTAAGTATTAAACTCCTTCTAACTTAATTAAACACTAGGAATAAAAAAACTAGGATGTTACAAAGAATAGATCATCACATACATCAGCAAAAACAAGAACAAGCACTTTTAATAATTCCACAGTTCATATGCAACATGCCCATCACAATCGTCCATGTTCCATAGCCACAGTGGCTCGCACATCCATCCCTCTCCTTGGTCTATGTGCACAACCTCCTTCACCAGTTCCAATATTATCATCCCGCTTAGTTTCTCCAACTTGGTACCCAGGTCCATTATTGAAACTAGCCACAACAAGGATGGCTTGTTGATAGGCCGAACTTATCTGAGCAGCCTTCAACAACTAGCACCGTCACTTGCATGTCTCGAGGAACGAGTGACCCAGGACGAGGAAGGATGTTGATCAGTTCTAGGAAATCGAGAATTGCATAGCTTCCTTTGATGCTCCCAAAGCAGAGACATCATGTTCTTTGACTACCATTTTTAGAGTTGGGAATGTAACGAGCAAATTTCAAAGATGCAGTTATCCCAATTTTGAAGTGAGAAAATGTTATAGGTGAAGGAATGGTGAGGTCAGGAGCATGGTGAGAGAGAGAAGATGTTGAGAAGCGAGCTAAGGAGGGGGGAAAGCTTGGCCTGAGAGCTTGGGTATGGGGGAAGAGTCATAGACAATGAAGATGTTTCAGAGTGAGAAGATGTTTCAAACGTTCTACGGCGATTTCTAACAGAAAATTTTAACAGCATTAGCTCCTATTTAACTGCAGGGCTAACACATCTAACTGTTGAAAGGCAAAGGACTCCATAAAAAAAAAAATGTCCAAGGACCTGATTCAAAATGGAGGAAAACTAAGGACCTCCAAATTACTTTTCCCTTTAAGTAATTTACTGCTACACTGCCCAACAAGATTGGTAACACTTTTATTGAATTTTACTATTTCATTAACGTCACTTACAGCAATTTCAACACTTCGGAAAATAGAAGTAAGAGGATTGCGCTTTAAATCACTTACTGCACTTTTAAAATCTCCCAATTTTTGAAATTTAAATGTGATCATAAGTAATAATTTAGAATTTTGGACGGATCACCATTTGGGGTTTGGAATTTTAAATGGTATTTTTGTAGCATTTTTCCTAATATATACTTAAAATGCAACAAGGCATAAGGGTATGAAAAACTTAT